TCGCAAACTCCTGCAGTGCGTCCAGGTTCTTGTGGTCGTAAAGTTCCATGACCTCCCGCAGAAGCCTCTGCGCGACGAGGATGTCGATGAGGATGTCGTAAGGCCCGAGCGCCGCGCCTTCAAAGGTGGCGGTCACGACTGCGGTGCAGCCGGTCGTAAAGGGTACGCCGTCGTCGAATGTGAAGGTGTGGGAGTACATCATCCGATCCTTGACGCAGACGGAGAAGGGCATAGACACACCACCGCTGTCTTGTGGCTTACCCTGTCTGCTCCTCGCTGCTCGGTGTGAACAGAGATACGCAGTCAACTTTCTTTTGCCTCCCGAGAGAGAGAAACATCGAAAAAGAAAATCCCTAGAGATACATCAAGATACCGCAAAAAAATCGTCCGCACTAGGGCTAAGACTGGATGGGCCCTTTGCAGAGGTCACGGTGTCGTCCCCGAAATTCTTTCTTGCTTTTCGAGATTCGGAGCTAAGTGCCTCGGGCCTCGCATCAGTGCGCGCCAGTCCCGAGCGCAGTTCGAAATTCTTTTCTTGCGACGTCTGACGGGCTAGTACATAAATATATGCGCGGCCTCGCCCCCACAAGCACAACCGCCGCCGCTCCCTCGCCAGCCACGCCGCCGCCCGCCCGCCTCCTCGACCTCCCCACGGACCTCCTCGTCCTTTCTTTCTCCGTCAGCTATTAATTCTTTGTTCCTTATACCAAAAGGAGGGCTACACGGACGACTCGGGTGGCCTCGGCTTCCGCTTTGGCCTCTGCCCTTTGCACGGTCAGGCTCTGCTCCGCCAGCTGCTTCTCCACCTCGTCCGCGCGTACGAGCACGTGGCCAGCAAGGAGCTCGGCCGACGACATGATGGCTTGGAGCCGACGGAGAGAGAGATCGACGCGACTTGACGGCAGGATGGGACGGACGCGATCACACGCGGCGTGCTGTTTCCCGCCCTTCTCATGTTCATGTGCTCTCTCTGCCGTCTCCGACACAACCCCGTTCCCAGTACTAGGTCGCCAGGCGCCGATCATCCGTCGGGCGCGGTATTACGGCCTTCTTGGCCGCGATCTACTCGACCTCCACGCCTAGGATTCCTATAATCTCCTGGCTGCGCCGCACGCACCGCTTACAGCTTGGGGGGGGGGGGGGGCACCTGTCTGCTCGGTGTGAACACACCTACGAAGTCAACTTTCTTTTGCCTCCTAGCGAGATAGAGCCTCAAAAAAGAAACCCCCGCGCATGTGCTGCCAAGCGACCGAGAAGCGCCACGCCACCGACTCGTTGCTCTCCGCTCGCAGATATGACGCGCGCGGCCCACCACCCTCCGCCGCTGCCCATGTCGCCCGAGGAGTACCAGAAGTGGCGGCTGCAGCTCTGGTCGCAGCGCGGCCCGAACGTCGCCACGCCCACCTACGAGGAGCTGCTGCCGTGCTACAAGGCCGCTCTCGAGCGCTGCAAGTCGCAGGTTTCGCGGCCTCCGCCTCCGCCTCCGCCGCAGCCCGCGCCGCCGCCGCCTGCGTCGGTGGTCGACGCCATGGCGGCGGCGGTCCGCGCCGGCGCGGAGGAGCCCTTTTACGTGGTCGACCTCGAGGCGGCCAAGCGCAAGCTGTCCGAGTGGCGGGAGGCGCTCCCCGAGGTGGTGCCGCACTACGCGGTCAAGTGCAACGGCGACCCGGCGCTCCTGCTCACCCTCGCCTCCGAGGGCGCCTGCTTCGACTGCGCCTCGGCGGCCGAGATCCGGCAGGTGCCCTCGGAGGCATATGCATGGCTGGAACAAGAAACCACAGCGGCCGGCGTCCCACACCCCAGTGGGTGTGACGAGCCCTCGCATCGGGACGCAGCGCCGCACCTCTCACGCCCATCCTCGGGACGCAGCGCCGCACCTCTCACGCAGTTTGGTCGGTGGGAGGCGGGCAGCGCCCGTGAGACCGACCCCTTCAAGGAGCGCTGCTCTGCTCATCCCGCCGCGGTGCCCGTCGCACGCAGGTTCGCAGCCTCGGCGTGCCGGCCTCGCTGGAAGCGTCTAGGAAATGTCTAGGAAGTGTCTCGGACGTGTCTCGGAAGGTGCGCAGCCTCGGCGTGCCGGCCTCGCGGATCGTCTACGCCAACCCGATCAAGCAGCCGTGCAGCAGATGCCGGAGAAGTAGACCCGGAATGAGTATTATTATTACGAGACTTAGACCCTGAACAGACCCGCCTCGCGCTTGTATGCCAACCCAGCCACAAGCAGCCGCGCCGGAGACGCTGGAGCGCCCGAGCAGACGCGCATTTCGGCTCTCTCTAGCTCTCGAAAGACAGACCGGGCACGCACCCCCCCCCCCCCAAAGAAGTCTCCGGCTCTCTGAATCCCGGAACGCGCGGTGTACTCCACGCCGTAGAGCAGCCCTCGAGCGATCTCGAGCGATCTCGAGCGATCTCGAGCGATCTCGAGCGATCTCGAGCGATCTCGAGCGATCTCGAGCGATCTCGTGCGATCTCGTGCGATCTCGTGCGATCCACCCGAAGGCAGCCCTCCCAGGTGCGGTGCGCGTCCAAGGAGGGCGTCCCGCTGACCGTCTTTGACGGCGCGCCT